ATTAGGGTTGATGGGTCTCGCCAATGCCCATCAGACTTCCTGGGGCTTGGAAGGGAGCTCCTTGTAAGTGAAATGTAATAAAAAACAAGTGTCATGATAAAAGTTACACAAAGAAACTTTTTATGGCCATTTGTCAAGATGAAAGATGCAGCAGGAAAGAACATGTTATGTAGCTTAGCGGAGCGTCATACTCTGTGGCAAAGCTAGGTGGATAAATGCTGTTGTAGAGAAGATAAAGCCCATCTTGGATTCTATGCCCTGTGACAGGTCTTTTTCTTGCTGACAGGGCCTTAAAGTGAGGCTACATTTCATGGTTTTACCCTCACAGGCTTTGGAATTGTTCAGAAGTGGTTTTGAATTGTAGCTCCACTATTTCATTCATTCACTCAATCATCCAGAAGGTAATTCTAAGTGATACTGTGTACCACCTCCCATCTATCAGTTTGTTGGACTGTGGTAGCTTGCATATTACCACAATGCTGGAAGCTATGCCACGAATATTTCAAATACCTTCAGGGTCACTCATGGTGGACAGATTTTAGTGGAGCTTCCAGTCTAAAACAGTATCACCAGGAAGAAAGACCTAGCAGATGATTTCCAAAACTTAGCAAATGTAAGCATTATGGATCACAACAGAACATCGTCTGACTTGTTTTGGACACGTCATCAGAAGGATTCAATCATTGGAGGAGGACATTATGTTGATAAAGCAGAGGGCCAACGAAGGTATGGGAGACGTTAGGTGGAAGAGATTAGCACAAGAGCTCCAATGATGGACTCTAACATGCTGGCCATCATGTTGTAGGGTCGGGGAATGTTTCCTTCCTTTGTGTATAAGGTCACCATGAGTTGGAGTCAACTTGAAGGCAACAGACAATGATAGCAACACTGTGTGCCTGGAAATAAGACAGTGAACAAGACAGGGTGCTCTTCTTAAGTTTATCATGAGGGGTTATGCAGCAAGAAAGCCTGCATCCTAATAAAGCTGATGAAAGGAGACACCAGGTAGGACTACAAAAGGGGAGGAATTGGCACAGGGGACAAGCCATGCTTCTTAGTGTAGATGATCTCAGTTGAATCCTGAAGCCAAGAAGGAATCAGCAAATTGATGTGTTGTTTGCATATATGAGGAGATAAGTCAGGAGAGAAAAAGAGTATGCCAAAAGACACATGAGAAAATATGGAGAATATTGGGAGATCAGAGAGAAAAGAAACAGACCTAGAACGATAGCATCATGAAAGAGAGTCCTTACAGACAAAAGGTAAAGGGAAATACAGAAAGATTTTACACAGACAAGTGGCAAGAGAACGTGATGACCCTGTACATATGATTTTATCCTGAGTCTCAGTTTGTAACATACAGATAAGACTGCCCTGCCTAACTTGCTGTGCAGATTAAATGAGATAATATATATAAAACACTTAGTTTCTCAATCCTACTAATTACTCACTGCCATTAAGTCAATTCCAACTCATAACACCCTCATTGGGTTTCCAAAGCTGTAAATTTTTACAGAAGTAGGTTGCCTCATCTCCCTCCCACAGAGCAGCTGGCGGGATTCAACCACTAATCTTCTGGTTAGCAACCAAATGCCTGCCTTACCCACTGTGCCACCAGAGCTCCTTAATAACTAATTACTCAGTGGTAACCATAATGAAATATCCATTGGCTGAAATTTGAAGTAACACTTGGCCATCCTTTCCTGTACGAGTGTACTCGTTTTATGAAATGTTTTGTGTAGATACAGGTATGAACTGGATAACCCAGTATTTCAGCTTTGGAGGAGTTTGAGAAGTTCACGTGTTCAATTCAACACACATTTACTGAGCATCTTCTCTGTACTGGCACTGGGTTTGCTTCTGGGGATGCAATGTGGAAAATGCTGATTGGCTGATAATACACTTAATAGAAGAAATGATTGCTTAAGTTAAGTATTCAGCAAATTATTGTGGTTCTGTGTGGTTTGGGGTTTGTAGCAGAGATGACCAGTTGCTGCCAAATATCTATTACTCCCTTTTCCTTTAGTAAGAGATTCTCATTTTTGGTGCTGGTAATGTTTGTTCCGTTTTGTGATCTGAATGCTGTTTACACAGATGGGCTTCGTTTGAGAAAATACATCAAGATGTATACTCAGGTTATATGCACATTTCTGTGTTTTCAATAAGAATTATATTTTTTAAATCTCCAATGAGTCAAATCCAACTCATAGCAACCCCTCCTTGGGTTTCCGAGGCAGTATCTCTATGGAAGTAGATTGCCCAACCTTTCTTCTGAGGAGTGACTGGTGGGTTTGAACTGCCAGGCTTCTGCTTAGCAGTTAAATGCCTTAGGCACTATGCTACCAGAGGTCCTTTAAGAATATTACATTTCTAGGACTCCCTTGCAGCTAGGGACGTAATATGACTGAGTCTGTCCTAGGTAAGGATGTATAACCACATGCTATTTAATATTTCCAGTAAATCTTATGAAACAGGTATGGGAATGCTCTTCTGCAATTCTCTTCTCCTCAGTTCTGAGTCCTGGAACACAGATATGATATGTAGGGCTATCTTGGGTTATGAGGACAAGACTCACACCCTAGGGATATTTTAGAGGTTAGTGAGATGAAGACTTGGCCTTGCCTGACAACTTTGCAGAACTGCTAAACCAGTTTTTACCTCTAGGTTTAATTTATATAACACAGAAAGAGGGGGGGAAAATCTTGTATACACCACTGTCATTTGAAGTTTCTTTGTGAAATTCACCTGAAGTTGATCTTAATTTATACAGGGTTCCGTATTTAGTTCTGTTCAATCTTTGATTTCACAGCCAAAATCCCAAATAATAAAAATAAGAAGTTACTTGAAAGAGGAGTGGAAACAGAACACTTGGAGCCTGAAATTCAAGGTCTGGCTTCGTTTTTCACAGTTTGATTGCACCTCCAGGTTCTCATACATAATATGGAAATAAAGAAATCTACTATGTGTCTCCATTGTTAGAGTACTTTCCTGGAAGCAACCAAGTCTGAGTCTAGAAGAAACTAACAGGCTAGAGTCCAGGTTTAGGAACAAGGCAAAATCAGAACAGGATCCATCCTCAAGAGTCACTCAGTCATCTCACTACGTACCACACCGGAAATTAAGTATTCCAGCCATGCTACTCCATGCAACACTCAAAGTTCTGAAAGAAAGAGTCTGAATGACTAAATATTGATCACAAACCCTTTGGCTTCTCTAAAGGAGTGAAAGAGTCTGGAGGGAGGAGAATGCACCAGCCTCTAGGAGCCTCTAGTTCTCTATTGTTATTGCTGTGCCCCTACTCATAGCAACCCCTCCTGGGGTTTCCAAGGCACTATGGAAGTACATTGCCCAACCTTCCTTCCAAAGAATGGATGGTGGATGTGAACCGCCAGCCTTCTGGTTAGCAGTCAAATGCCTTAGGCACTATGTTACCAGAGCTCCTAATAGTCCCACTGAGAATGTAAAAGATAGGGGTAGGTATATTCCTCAAATTAATGGATGCTGGACAGTCATAAATCAACTAATGTCCACTCTTCCTATCCCAAAATGTTGTTGAGAGCAGACTAAGTTAGAGAAAAATGCTCTAAAAACTGAAATTCACTTTGCAAATACTCATTGCTATGTTGTTATTATTGACATGGTTATTAGTCTCAAGATTTATGGGCGAAAGAGTACCTTTAAAATGGTGATGTTTCAAATTGTAAGGAATTCCTTCCTTTACTAAAGAAATAATGTCACTGGTATTGGACACATAATTAATAGCATGTCTCCCAAATTAATAGCAGGGAATGTGTGTAGTAGATAATGTTAACATTAATGAGTAAGTAAAAAACAAGTCTTCTTTTTACAGATTTGGAAGGTCACAAAAAGATTCAAAAAGAAGTGTGAAAAATGGCCTAATGTCAATTTCTAGACAGAAGTCATCACCTAGAGTGGGATTCTTCACAGTGGTCCATATGTGACTAAATATTTAACTTGGGGCCATGGTCAATACCTTTCATCAGATATCAAGAGATACCGGCCCTAAAAACATCAAGATCATTATTTTTAATGCTATGAGTTATTTTGGTCAATGGGATCAGAGAGATCTGGATGCAAATTCTGGGTACCTACAGAGGTTCCAAAACACATCAATCAATGTAAACCATCCCCTGTTCTTCAAGAAATTAGACACTCCCATGAGAAATAATTAAGAGTACATATGAATCACAACTACTAACCTAACAATGGGTGGGTTGAACCCACCCAGTGGGGCCACAGAAGAAATGCCTTCCAATTTGCTTCCATGAAATATGTCAGCCAAGAAAACTCTTTGGAGCAGTTGTACTCTAACAAATGGGATCTCCATGGTCAGAATCAACTTGACGGCAACTACTTAGTTTTTATGGATTATAACTGCCTGATTGTCTTGCATATGAGACTGCCATAAGTCAGGGGCCCACCTGACAGCAGCCAACAACAACAATATAGTAATTAAAAAAGTGGAACTGCAAATAGCAGAAAACCACACCGAGTTTGAGGTCAGCTTAAATAATAATAGAAATAGTTCATGAAGCTCCTATGAATGGAAATCCAGAGGTAAGGCATTTAGAGTTGGTTTTGATTACATTTCTCTGTGGTTCTCTTGACGATGACTCCCTCTTTGCACTGGATTCTTTAGGCTAATGTCATATGTTCCAAGCTGAGTAGACAAAAATAATATCCATACAACAATGACTAGGTATCATTTCTGTTGTTGTTACTGTTGTTATGTGCCGTCAAGTCGGACCAGACTAACAGTGACCCCTCCTTGGGTTTCTGAGGCAGTATCATTACTGAAGTAGATTGCCCGTCTTCCTTCCAAAGAATGGATTTGAACCTCCAGCCTTCTGGTTAGCAGTTAAGTGCCTTAGGCACTATGCTACCAGAGCTCAATTCTAGCTTACCTTTTATTTCCCTGTGAGTTCCCTGCACAATTAAATACAATAAATATTTTTTGGATAAGAAAGTGAATAGATTTTTTTTTTTGGTGCTGGTAGCACTCCCGCGAACATGGTGAACGTTCCTAAAACCCGCCGGACTTTCTGTAAGAAGTGTGGCAAGCACCAACCCCACAAAGTGACACAGTATAAGAAGGGCAAAGATTCTCTATATGCCCAGGGAAAGCGGCGTTATGACAGGAAACAGAGTGGATATGGTGGGCAGACTAAGCCAATTTTCCGGAAGAAGGCTAAAACTACAAAGAAGATTGTGTTGAGGCTTGAATGTGTTGAGCCCAACTGCAGATCTAAGAGAATGCTGGCTATTAAAAGATGCAAGCATTTTGAACTGGGAGGAGATAAGAAGAGAAAGGGGCAGGTGATCCAGTTCTAAGCTTCATCTTGTTTTATTACCAAGAAAATAAAATCTTGACATCATGTTCATTTCACTTGGTTGCATATGGGCATTTGGGAGGGAAAGAAACTAGCTGTCATCTATTAAATGCCCCTTGTAGAGGAATACATTATACTCTGTGGTTATCATGGGAAATGAATAAACTTTAAATGCACAAAAAAAAAAAAAAAAAAAAAAGTGAATAGATAGATACATAAGAGATTTTAATAATAATACATGACAGGCATGATTAAATGAGATTTTAGACAATATAAACAATATATCAGAGAAAGAAATTATAGGTTTAGGGGTCTAAAAATAGATAGTAGGAATAGAAATAGCATTCCAGGCATACAGTTGGCACTATATTTAAAGCAAATGAATTCATAAATGAAAAAAAGATACTAGATTTCAGAAGAACTTTCCATCCATTCCAGGTGGTTTCATATTTTGGGCTGAAAACTAAAGTTATTAGGACACTGGAAGTTTCCATGGAACCTTGTATCCAGCAGAATCTCAAATTACTCCAGACAATAATGATTAGAGCCAGTTAAAGTACCAAGGCTCATATACACAACCAAGAGATTGAGGCTTACAATTTTTACACAATAAAAACTCATTATTTTTCATTTTCCAAAGACATTTTAAATATTCATTGAGAACTTTCCATTTGTCAAGATCTGTGCTAGATATTTTCAAATGATTTTTTTTAAAAAAACTTTTATAATAGTACTGTAAGATTAACATTTTTATTTCAACTTTTACAACAGAGGGAAACAGGAAACCTAGTGAGGGTAGATTACTTGGCAAAAAATAACAACAACAACTGAAAAGTGCAGACCTGGAATTATAATATAGGTCTGTGTGATTAAATTTTAAATATTTATATTTTGTTTACAAGACTAAACTACTTTTAAATATACTAAATAATCCCATTTGAAGAAAAGTAAATGATGCAATGCTTAAGAATTACTCCAGGCTAGTTTTTCTGGCAGATCCATTGTTGTTGTTGTTGTTATGTGCCGTCGAGTCGGCCCCGACTCATAGCGACCCCTCCTTGGGTTTCCGAGGCAGTATCACTACGGAAGTAGGATTGCCCAACCTTCCTTCCGAGGAGTGGCTGGTGGGTTTGAACCGCCAGCCGTCTGGTTAGCAGGTAAGTGTCTTAGCCACTATGCTACCAGAGCTCCCCCGGCAGATCCATTAGCTACTCCCAAAGCTACTTCTTTTAGTCAGATTCTAGATAATACACAAACATAAAAGGAATATAATGATTTTCCTTGAGACTATGGATATTTTAAGTAGCTCTGGTGGTGCAGTGGGTACTCATCCAGCAACTCCACAGGAAAATGATCTGGTCATCTGCTCCCACCAAGATTAAATCCAAAGAAACTCATTGCTGTTGAGTCAATCCCACCTCATAAAAGACCCTATAGGACAGAGCAGAACTGCCCCCCTGTCACACACACACACACACACACACACACAGGATTTCTGAGACTGTAAACTTCTATGGGGGAGCTCTGGTAGCATAGTGCCTAAGGTACTTGACTGCTAACCAGAAGGCTGGCGGTTCAAACCCACCAGCCACTCCTCAGAAGGAAGGTGGGGCAATCTACTTCCATAATGATATTGCCTTGGAAACCCAAGGAGGGGTCGCTATGAGTCGGGTCTGACTCCATGGCAAATAACAACAACAAACCTTTACGGAAGCAGACTGCCACAGCTTTCTTCAGTGGAGTGGCTGGTGGGTTCAAACTACTGACATTTCAGTTAGCAGCCAAGTGCTTAATGACTGCACCACCAGGGCTCCTTTGTATAAAGATCACAGCCTAGAAGCCCCTATGGGGCAATTCTACTCTATCATATGTTGTTGTTGTTGTTGTTGTTATTGCCATCAAGTCGGCCCCAACTCATAGCGACCCCTCTTTGGGTTTCCGAGCCTGTAAATCCGAATCAACTCCATAGCACACAGCATGTGACAACAGCAACAGTGATACCTAGATAGTCCCTTTTTAATGGAAATAATGTGGTATAGCAGAAGCATCTCTGTTATGGTGCAAGGAGGAACTCAAGTTCAATTTAGGATTTTGAGAAAATTACATAATATATTTGAGCCTCAGTTTTCAAATCTTTAAAACAGAGGTCAATGATCATTTCCAAAGAGGGTCACTGTAGGACAGTAATGAGAAGGGATTAAAATGCCTTTCAGCACACAGAAGGTGCCTACCTTTCCTGCCTTTGTTCAACTTGACATGCCTCCCAAATACTTCAAACTAGCATATATGCTGCTGAAGTTGAGTTCCCAAATATTTCAAATTATGGAGAAGGCAATGAAAATGAAACAAATACTTATAGCTAACTCTGTGTTTGGCCTACACCTATATTTCTTCTTACTATCACAGGTTAACAGCTTAGATACGACTTCAACATGGTCTTCTAGAACTAATGGAATTGTAGGGGCAGCGCATTTTATAAAGCACCTGAACTGATGCTTGTTTCTTGGCCTATGTTTTGTGTGTCAAAGTCTTTTGTTGTGTTAAGGCTCTTTTTCTCAAATGAGAGAAAATCCAATGTAACCTGACTTAAAACAGACGAAATTTTATTTACTCTGCATAAGTGGAAAGTCCAGAGATAAGGTAGGGTCCAGGTCATCTGACTGGGAGGCTTATCAATATAACCAAAGACGTGTGTGTGTGTGTGCATGGCCATTACTCTTCTCTGATGCTGTGGCTTCTTGTTATTGTTATTAGGTGCCACTGAGTAGGTTTCAACTCATAGCGACCTTATACACAGCAGAACGAAACACCGCCCAATCCCACGCCAGTTCCATGATCCTTGCTATACTTGAGCCCATCGTCATAGCCACCACGTCAATCCATCTCGTTGAAGGCCTTCCCTTCTTTTGTCGACCCTCCACCTTAACAATCATGACATCCTTCTCCAGGGAATGGACCCTTCTGACATGAGCAAAGTAGGTAAGATGAAGTCTGGCCATTCTTGCTTCTAAGGAGCATTCCGGCTGCACTTCCGCCAGGACAGATCTGTTAGTTCTTTTAGCAATCCACGGTACTTTCGGCATTCCTCACCAGCACCACAATTCAAAAGCATCAACTCTTCTTCAGTCTTCCAGCTCTCACATGCATATGAGGTGATTGAAAATATCATGGCTTAAGTCTGGCACACCTTAGTTCTCAAGGAGACATCTTTGTTTCTCAGCACTTGAAAGAGGTCCTTTGCAGCCAACTTGCCCAGTGCTATACATCGTCTGATGTCCTGACTGCTGCTTCCATTGGAGTCTATTGTAGAACCAAGCAATGTGAAGTCTTTGACAACCTCAATGTTTTCTCCTTTTATTGTGATGCTGCTTATAGGTCCAGTTGTGAGGGTTTTTGTTTTATTCATATTGAGATATAATACATACTGCAGACTGTCTTCTTCAATCTTCATCAGTAAGTGCCAGTCTTTTATATGGGGAGACAAAACAAACACCACAAGATTATGTAGCTGGTCTTTGGAATCTGTATGTCCATGCTAGTGGATACCAAGTGGGTCTGAATCCTGAGGACTTTTTTTTTAGTCATCTTTACAAAGGACAGCTGCAGGGACCCAGGTAAGGGTGGTAGGAGAGGTTTCCAATAGGGAGACAAACTTGTCTGTCAGTTTGTCCTACTGTGGTGACATGTTAATGTGAGTTTTGAGGCTAAGCCACTGGTGTTTCAAATATTTTGGCTCTCTTGGAATTGTTTTAATTGTCTTTAACTTCAAGTTGAACTTGAATATGAGCAGTTGATGGTCTGTTCCACAATCAGCTCCTGACCTGGTTTTGGCTGAAGATATTGAGCTTTTCCACCACCTCTTGCCACAGATGTAGTCAATCTGATTCCTGTGTGTTCCATCTGGTGAGAGCAGGATG